GTTGGACTTAAATGAGTAGTTGGCTGTTTGGCTAGCAGCTGGCACTTATGGAAGTAGTGTAGTTCATTTCCTGCTGCACAGGACTCTCATCTGTATCCACGGGACGGAGGTTGAGCGTGTTGCCAGCTTTAAGTTTCTGGGTATCTCCAGGGACCTCTCTTGGACCCTCAACACTTTGAACCTGGTCAGAGGAGACTGAAGAAAGTCCATCTGTCTCTTCAGAGGTCATCTTTTGCCACTGCACCATCCAGAGCATCGAGACAAGTTATATGAAGTGAATGTCCTGAGAGCAGGCATTGTTTTCTAGCAACCACACACACATTTATTTATTTAAGAAATGTGTCATTTATAGGACATTTCCTGTACCTAGTATCATATTCTTTGCTTCAAACAGGCTGTTTGGCCAGCTGGCACAATTTCAGTTTCAAAATGCCAGAATCAATATTTTACTAGGAGAGTTTATAAAAAAAAAAAATTAAAGTGGGGTTCGGATCAGGGCTCACAGAAGTCCACCTAGCCTGTGACTCAGTGTTATTTAATACAGTAAAATATATTTTATGTTAGCATGCCTTTGTAAACACAGGTTCAAATAACCTGAATAACCTATAATGTGAATGAATCCATCCATCTTGTATGTTTACTGTGTGCTGTGAGGAGTGAATAGGTCAGTTTATCACACACACATAAAGACTCACAACTTACACATACATGGAAAACGCCACACATAAAGGCCCCTGTTGGAAGGATTTGAAACTAGAACGCCCCAAACATAAATGTTGCACAAATTTATAAAGTGATATTTTACATTTTACAACAAATTATAGAAATGTACTTTTCTTGTATTAGACCATAGAAAAAAACAGATTAAATCCAGAAATGATATTAACACATATTAGTTGCATTTCATGTGGGGATGCTGCTTTTGGTTAAGTCCAGCTCAACGTCACAGAAAGCAGGATTAGTGCTGCCAAATTTCTTCTCTCTGTCCCTCGTCAGGTCAAGCGTTCCTGATCGTCTCATGACCTCAAAAGGGGAGAGCACAAAGCAGAAAGTCAGCAGCTGTTATCAGTCTAGAGCATTCAGCATTGTTTCACTGCTGTGGCACTTACTCTCTCTTTGAAAATTTTGACCAGATGATAAAGAGTTGTGTCCTCTTTCATTAATGTGAGCTTTGATTCCACTTTCAGCTTCCAGCCTCCTGAAATACACATTACGAGCACACCAACATTAAAGCTCATTACAAAACAGTAGGACAGTGAGATCTGAAGAAGTACTTTAGAAATTATCAATTAGGCAGTGGAATATGTTATTTACAGTACCTGTAAACAGGCTGACTAATAGTCCCACACTGATAGCTACTATGGTTCCAATAGGACTGAAGTAAAGGTAGGACAGAGAGTACCAGTTATCTGCCAGCAGAGGCCTGGAGGTGGAGAAAATAGTGCATGAGGAGGGAAATCTTGCTCATAAAGACAACATTGTGATAAGAGATTTAGATATACAAGACATGCATGCAGACATACATGTTTATTCTGAGTTGGGTAGTAATAGGATATTTGTAATAGTAAGATCAATCAATCAATCACAGCCAGTTGCACACTTACTTGCCGTCAATGTTGTGTAATGGGGCTGTGGTGATGGAGGCTGGTTCTGTTGGCAGAGCAGTGGAGGTCCAGTTGAGGCTGTCTGTAGTGGTGAAGTTACAGCCCTCAGTGGTCAGTGACAGGGGTCGGGTCATTTCGGGAGGGGGAGGGTATATCTGGGCTCCGATGCCCACCCACAGAGACACAACCAACCCTGACAGAAGGCCTGACAAAGCGCCCTAGGAGACATTTTAATCAATGTAAATGTGCTTTTCAGAGGAGCAGCATGTATAAATATTATACAGAAGTTTTAAAGGGTGGAAAGTGAGAAAGTGCTGTGATGTATAATTTGGGGACGATAAATCATTTATAGGGTAAATTATTATCCCAGGAGTACAACACAGGATTAATGTGTGGGTTACTGTATTCCCAAAAACAACAAACAACTACAGTTAAATGAGGAGAGGCTTACTTTTGAGTTGGCAAATGGACAGAGGATACCCAATGTAAACAGGCCGAGTAAAGGACCCCCAATGACCCCAAATATGCTGATGGCTGCCTGTATAAAGAAGCACAGATCAGTTAAGTTGCAGGGTTCATTCCTACTCATGAACCCCTAACAGGGTCTCTGCTAAAGCTTACAGAACATAGTATAATTAACAATTATATATGTCCTTGAATGTTTTGGTCTTTGTTTAAGCAGAGAGAAACAGACACAGATCTACTCTACCTGCAAGATCCCTCCCATGAGTGAAGCCAGTCCAGCCATTCCAATACATAGAACCCCATATATGAGACCTGCAAACAACACAGGGGAAGAATTTGAGGTTCTAACAATTAATTAACACCTAACAGTGTTAGTGTTCAACAATCAACTCATTCAGCTGAAATACTGTGAGGCCAACCCACTCACTCAGTCCTTTTGAGGTCCAGGACAGGTGTTTCTCAGACATGTTGATGTACGGTTTGATCAGGTCCTCTACTGTCACTGCAGCCAGCGCATTGATGCTGGAAGACACTGTGCTGGAGTGGAAATCACATCAAAAATATACAAATTTTACTTAAAGAAGTAAAGAAGGACCATGATACACATGTTTTTTTCCTGTCAACCCCACTTTGTAGTAAAGTACTGTAACCTTAGGGATCCACTGTAAGCAGCTGCAACAAACAGTCCAGGAAGGCCAGGGTAGTCTCCCAAGATGTCCATCACCAAATATGGCATCAACTACAGAGGAAGGGTGACATTGAATTAGCATAAAGCATAATGGATCAGGAGTCCACTTATGCTTTTAATGGAAA